TCACCTCCATTTAGTTATTTCTGGGAAAATCTAACAAACTTTTAGTAGGAACCCTTTGTGTAAAGAACACAGCCTTTTTTCCCTGTCCCACATAGAAAACACAAAGAGACAATAGAAGAGAAATTATAGAAAGGCCCAGAACAATCATGGAGAAAGCACACGTTCCGAGAGGCTGACTTCCTTGAAGTTTTTGCCTCAGTCGGGTGATTTTGTCACGTAGACTCCCTTGGAGTTGGTGTGGCAATGTACAACTCAGAGCAATCTTCTGAACAAAAGGTCTGAATGTCCAAAGTATTTGGGATGAAGCTTCACCATCCCTGCCTCCATGGAGCACTCTGGCTGCACTTTCTTCAAGACTGTTCTTTTGCCACCACAGTTCAGAGGCATCATTTTTTCCTTTGTCATAGTTACTCATTTTCCAGCTCTCAGATGCATAGCAAATGATTAAAGAGACTATGATCTGAATCAGGTGCACCTTAGTCTTCAAACTAACATCATTGCTTGTACCAGGTGTATTGATTGTGGATCCAAATAAGATGAAGTTGTTGACAGTTTCAGTCTTTACTTCTCTCCTTATCATGACGGTGCCTATTGGTCTAGTGATGAGAATTTGTGGTTTCTTGATATTGAGATGCAGTGCATGTCCAAGGCTGCAGTGCTTGACTTTCTGCAGCAAGTGTTTCAAGTTCTCCTCCCTTTCAGCAAACAAGGTTGTGTAGTTTGCATAATGCAGGTTGTTCTTGATGAGTTTTCTCTGATCCTGATGCCATATTCTTTTTCATAGAACCCAGCTTCTCATACGAATTTTCCTGAAGCCTATTAGCTTTTGGAACAAAGGTAAATGAGAGTGTATATGCCCCTCCCCATGACGCTGTGACCATGAGAGTGTGCACCTTTCCTCAAAAGTACAGCTAGCTTGCTGAAATAGTGTCTTGCTCTTATAATCGTCATATTCTCCCCCCATCTCACACTCTCTCTCTTCCCCCCCTTCACATACTTAGTGTGTTTTAGTTGTTGCTATTTGGCAGCAGTGGCTCTGAACCTTGCCCTATCCTGAGCCAACCTCACCATCTTTGACACACCTGCCCCTGTCGCCACAGTCATTCTGTCAGTCTGTCTCCTCTTGTGTCTTCCTCTCCTGCTCTGTCCCTCCACCTTTCCAACCACAGTGTCCCTTTCCAAGGACTGACCCCTTCTGAAAAGATGTTCGAAGTATGTCAGACGGAGCTTGAAATCCTTGCTTCCAAGGACCAACTTGATTTCACCCTCTCCAGGACCAACCTCTTTGTTCTCTCGGCATTCCATGGTATATTCACGACTACTCTCTAGCACCACAACTCAAAGACGTCGATTCTTTTCCCATCATCTTTAGTCATTGTCCACCTCTCAGATGCATAGCAAGCAAAGTCATTGCTGTCTAGTCGCTTGTGAACCATAGTGACCCTGTGTACAACAGCCCTGAACTCTGCTCTATCCTGAGCCATCTTTATTGTCTCTGACACAGTTATCCCTATTACCCCAGTCTCTGAATGAATAGATCTCGTCTAGGATCTTCCTCTCTCGCACTGTCCCTCTACTCTCCCAAGCATGACATCCCTCTCCAAGGACTCCTCCCTCCTTGAAGTATGCCCAAAGTATGTCTGGTAGAGCTTCAGAATCCTTGCCTCCAAGGAGCAGCCTGGTTTCACCCTCTCCAAGATGAACCTGTTTGTTCTCCCAGCAGCCCATAGTATAGTCAGTACTCTTCTCCAGCAGCACCGCAGCTCAAAGGCATCAGTTCCCCTTTTGCCATTGTTGCCATCAAGACAACTCTGACTCACAGGGACCCTGTGAAGAGCAGATCTGAGCCCTGCCCTCCTGTGCCGTCCTCACCATCTCTGGTAATACCTGAGCCCACTATGAAGGACACAGTGTCAGTCCATCTTATCTTAGTCCTTAGACTTGAAATAGAAATGTATTCATCATCATCCTCTCCTGTGCAGAAGGACTTTAGAATGAGCGTAGTGGAAGTCCAGTCATAGTATTTTTTGAACTTTCCCGTATTCATGGACTATTGCAGTTGTTTTTTCTCTCTAACCTAATGACTTGCCTTTTGTACTGTCAGTGTTCTTATATTCAAGCAGTTAATTAATTTAATTTCATATTCTTTAATAATAATTAATAATTTTATTAAATAAGAAATTTCTTCCTTGTACTGCTTTCACACACAAGCAAAATCCTGCTGAAGATTATCCAGAAACTACAGTATATTGACAGAGAAAGACCAGAAATACAAGCTGGGTTTAGAAGAGGTCATGGCACCAGGGGCATTATTGCCAATGTCAAATGGATCTTGGCAGAAAGCAAAGAGTACATCTATCTGTGTTTCATTGACTGTGGAAAGACATTTGACTTTGTGGATCACAACAAATTGTGGCTAACCTTGAAGAGCATGGGAATCCCAAACAATTATGCTTGTGTAAAATCTACACTCAGACCAGGAAGCAGTCCTCAGAACAGAGCAGGGAGCCTTACATGGTTCAAAATCAGGAACGGATTGCATTAGGGACACATCCTGTCTCTATATCTTTTCAGTCTATATGCAAAACAGATTATTCAGGAGGCTGGGCTTTATGAGGAGGGATATGGAATCAGGATTGGTGAAAAACTCATCAACAACCTAAGTCATGCAGATGACACAGCCTTGCTAGCTGAAATTGAAGAGGACCTGAAGTGCTTGCTGCAGAAGTCAAGGGCTTTATCTTCAATATGGATTGCATCTCAACATCAAGAAAACAATGATTCTCACCACTGGGCCAATTGGCAGCACCTTGATGGATGGAGAAGAGATTGAGGTTATTAACAACAGTTACAGCTTCCTTGGCTCCACAATCAACACTACTCTTGGTACCAGCAGTCAGGAAATCAAAAGACAAATTGCATTAGGTGAATCTGTCAGGGACCTTTCCAGAGTGCTGAGAAGCAATGATGTCAATCTAGAGACTAAGGTGTGCCTGATCCAGCCCATGGCCATTGCAGTTACTTGCTATGCATCAGAGACCTGGACAGGGATTAAGGATGACAGAAGAAGAGTTGATGCCTTTGAGTTGTGTTGCTGGAGAAGAGCATTGAACATGGACTGCCAAGAAAACAAATAGTTCTGTCTTAGAGAGGGTGAAACCAAGTTTCTCCTTTGAGACTAGGATTTTTTTATTTTTTTTAAGGCTAGGATTTTGAAGCTCAGTCTCACATACTTTGGGCACGTGGCCAGGAGGGACTGGTCCTTGGAGAAGACATCATGCTCAGAAGGGTGAAGGGACAGCACAGGAGAGGAAGACCCTGGCTGAGATGGATTGATAAAGTAACTGGGACAGTGGGGGGTAGGTGTATCAGTCAGTGTGACTGGCTTGGGACAGGGCAGGCTTCAGAGCTGTTGAATATGGGGTTGCCGTGAATCACAGGCACCTTGAAGGCACACAACAACAGCAACAACTACTACTGCCTTCTATCTTCCATTTCTTTCCTGGATAAGTTTCATCTTTTAGTGAAGATTTTTAAAATCAGCACCTGTTGGTAAATTTTCCAAATCTCTATTTTGCTGTTTTTTATTTAACTCTTAGTCTTGGAAAGGGAATAGAATTTTTCTAGGAGGAAAATTTTAGATAATTTTTTTCTCCTTGTTTTTTAAAACGCAGGAGAAAGCTGGACAATCTCTTTCCATAAAACTCTTTTTACAGGTAGTATTTTATTGAAATCACATTTATTCCTGTTTACATCAGTGAAATCACCTTGTTTATTGTGTTCTTTGGATGATGTTCTCCCACTGTCCCCTGTTTTCTGGTGTTTGTGGTTCCATAGCATCAGGCGGGCGCTGGTTCTTAGCTGACCCTCCGGCAGTACCCCTAGAGGCAGTAAGTCGCAGGAGAGGTGTTTGCCTGCCTTCATGCCATGGAGCAGCTGGTGGCTGAGCTGCAAGGCTGCACAACTCAGGATTGGCAGTGCAGCTCGTTACCACAAGCCCAGATCGCTGTCTCCTAGTCCTGCAGTGTAAGTGCAAATGTCTTCCTACTCTGATAAATTGATTTTTTTATTACATTGTTCAGTGTGATAACAGTATATGGATGTGGATTTCTTCTTCCCCCCTTTTTTATTAATTTTAATGAAAGTTTACAGCCTTTGGATTTCCATTCATTCATTGTTGCACTTTTCTCCCTAACCAACCTCCCCCTGCCCCAGTTCGCTCTTCTCTTTGAAAAGTAAAAGAAAAATTCTTTCATTGTTATACAATCCCTCCCCCCAAGTTCACTCCACTATGCAGCCTTTGTTCTGGACTCCTGTCATGACAGTAATACCCAATCACATATCCCTTTTAAACAGCTCTCTCCCGTATCTGTTTCAATGCAGTATACATCCATCATTTATCCTATCTTTCTCAGTCTTTTCCCAACCCTGATGTCAGTCCTGTTTTATAACACTGGCACTATACAGTATTTGTCCTCTTGTGACTGAGATACTTCACTCAGCATAATGTTCTTCAGGGTCACCCATTTTGAATACTATTGCATGAGTTCCTTGTTTCTCAGTGCAGTGTAGTTTTCCGTTGTGTGAATATACCACAGCTTCTCTATCCATTCGTTTAGTGATGGATACTTGGGTTGTTTTCAACCCTTTGCTATTATGAACAAAGCCGCAATAAACATGGGTGTGCATGTATCTGCTTTAGTGGCTGTTATGGTTTCTTTGGGGTCTATTCCCAGTAGTGGAATTGCTGGGTCATGTGGTATTTATAGGGGATAGATAATAAGTACTGCATTGGAACAGATGAAGGAAAGAACTGTTTAAAAGGAATTTATGAATAGGCATTATTTGTATGATAACTGTTCTAAATAAGAGGTGCATATCAAAGTGGACTGGGGGTGGAGGGAGGAAATTGTGCAACCGTGAATGGATGAAAATTTAACATTTCTATAAACTTTCATTAAAATCACCATTAAAAAATACAAATGGTGAAACAGATATAAATTTAAATGACAGATAAGGAAAAAAGAGACTTAAATGGCAGACTGACAGAAAAAAATATTAATCAGAGTTCTAGATAAAATAGAAGTGAGAGTGCAACATTTGGAGAGGTGGTGGTGAGAATTTTCAGATTTAGTTAGCCAAATCAATCTCTAGCAAGGTCGTTAGGAAGAAATCCCACAACAAGATAAAGGTAAACAACTCAATTGCAAAAGGGACACAGGATATGGACAGACACTTCACCAAAGAAGACATTCAGATGGCTAACAAACACATGAAGAAATGTTCAAAATCGCTAGCTCTAAGAGAGATGCAAATTAGAACAACTGTGAGATATCATCTCACCCCACTTAAAATAGCAAAATTTAACAGAAAGCAAACAACAAATGCTGGCAAGGTTGTGAAGAAACTGGAACCCTTATTCACTGTTGGTGGGAGTGTAAAATGGCACAACCACTGTGGAAGGCGGTGTGGCACTTTCTCAAAAAGTTGCAAGTAGAGATACCAATTGATCCAGCAATTCTACTACTGGGAATATACCCCTAGGAAACCGTAACTGCCACCCAAACAGATAAATACCCATGTTTATCATGGCTTTGCTCACAGTAGCAAAGAGTTGGAAACAACGTAAGTGCCCATCAACAAACGAATGGATAGAGAAGCTGTGGTTTATTCACACAATGGAATACTAAGCTGCATTGAAAAACAAGGAATTCACGAAATATTATCCAAAATGAGTGACCCTGGAGGACATTATGCTGAGTGAAATATCTCAGTAACAAAAGGGCAAATACCGCATAGTGTCACTGTTGTGAAACGGGACTGACATCGAGGTTGAGGTGAGACTGAGAAAGATGGGATAAATAAAGTATACTGCATTGAAATAGATGAGGGATAAAACTGTTTAAAAGGGATATGTGATTAGGTATTAGCGTCATGACAGGAGTCCAGAATGAAGGCTGCATAGAGGAGTGGACTTGGGGGTAAGGACTGTATAACAATGAAAGAATTTTTCTTTTACCTTTCAAAGAGAAGAGAGCATATGTGTGTGTGTTTGTGTGTGTGTGTGTGTGTGTGAGAGAGAGAGAGAGAGAGGAGTTGGGCCAGGGAGAAAGTGCAACAGTGGATGAATGGAAATTCAAAGTCTCTGTAAACTTTTATTAAAATTACTAATAAAAAACCCAAAACATAATTTTTAAAAAAACCTCAACAACAAAACAATAGAAACAGAAAAAATAATTTCACTTACCTCTGATGTTGATGCCATTCCTTTGATAATTTCTGCCTTCTCTTGTATCGTCTTCATTGTAGACATAGGAGTCTCTTCTAGTCTGTTGACTAAGTAGCTGACTTTCTGAAGTAAGTCTTTGATCCCGGAAAATTCTTCTATTTGGTCTCAAGTTTTGGTCACCAAGATTTTTTAATTTCTGACCCAGTTTTGTTTCCAACATCCACATTCTAAGCATTCTCATCTTTAATGGATCTTGATTGTAATTTGATCAGTTTTAAACTGTGGAGTCGGTACAGAAATGTTCAATTTCTTAATCTTTGGCATTAGTTTAAACTTTGCTTTTAGTTATAGAAAAGGTTTTCTTTTTTGAAATTAGAATTAGCATAACTAAATTTCAGGAACTTTCATAGCGTGACTTTTGTGGGAGAAAAAGTGGGACTGGAGAGCCTCGGTCCATTTGCCCTGCACCTGTGGTCAATCACCTGGTGCTTTAACTGGGTCTTCGCTCTGGGCCTGACAAACCCATGCGTTAGAATAGTCAATGCTGTGAGATGCAAGGGGCAGCATCTGCACTCGGTAAAGCTCAGAAGTCAGGAGGGAGAGGAAAGAAGGACAGATGGAAGCTGGAAGCACAGGGAGGGTTTTGGAAGAATGCTGTTACAGTATAGGGATTGCCACCAATGGCACAGAACATAATGGGTATGAATGTTGAATGGAAAATCAGTGTTCTTTGTAAATTTCCACTCACATCACAGAAGTTTTGCTTTTTGTTCTATAGTGGGTTTTTTCCTAACAAACAAACATCAGACTGGGTGGCCATGTGTCCACAAAAAGCCCCAGTGATGAGTGTCTAGAAAGACCATGGCTGTCTGCACCTTGAGAAATGGCTGTGTGTGTCTCCCTCCTGACAGGAACATGGCTTCGTCCGGGTCGCCTCACATGTCAGAGCGAAGCAGTGTGCTGGTGTTCTTACCCGGTGAGTATCCCATGCAGGAAGGTAGACGCTAGTGCTGGGCAGAGGTCAGTTCAAGCCCATCCAGCTGTTGGAAGTCTGCTCGATTTAGAAATCTCCAGGCAACTGCTTTCCTTAGACGCTGAGAATAGACATGCCTTTCACATTGTGTTTTTGCTATCACCTTTTTATGACTAAAAAAGATTTTTCATTGGCAGTGCAGAGGTTTGTGAGAGAATTTTTAATAAAATACTTGACTTTGTTAAACTCGCTTTTCATGTGTGTGATGGTGCCTGACCTCAGTCTGCTGCAATTTGGTTGGAAATGACTGTTGCTCTTCTGATTCATGTGTGCTGTCACAGTGTCCTGGAGCGCCTTTCTCTGCGGTCAAGAGGACAGGGTGTTAAGATACCCAGCAAGGTGAACTGATGATCCCTTGAACTTTGCAAAACTCTTGTCACCTTTTCCTCAGTTGATCTGATGCACCAGACAGAGTAGGTCCAAGTGTGTCCTCAAGGACTCTGTAGAAGGCTTTAGGGACCTGGGAACTGGGGATACACCTGAGAGTTGAGCCCTTCCTTTGTCACCTGGCTGGGCCGACGGGTGGGCTTGTGTGTGTCCCCAAACCAGCCATCAACTGATGGTGGTGGAGGTGCATTGGCCCTGATAAATAGTGGCTGCAGGTCTGTACTGGCGTGTCAGGAAGACATCACCGGGGCCAAGCTCAGCTTGCTGGCCCAACCAGGGCCACTGCATCAAGGCCACCTGGTGTCTGTGCTGTTATCTGTATGGGAGGAAACTGCCCACCTTGCTCCTGAGAGGGAGTTAGTTCCCTTTCTTGAAGATGTTACTGTGTACCATTGAGTTGGAACTCTGACCCATAGCTGACCCTCTGGCGAGTTTTTAGGGGCAGTTATCATGTGGGAGGAGGTTGTCCATCCTTCTCCCAGGGACCAGCTGGTTGATTTGAACCTTGTGTCTTTGGACTTGCAGCATAGCTTCTTACCACTAGACCACCAGAGCTTTCTGAAGCTGTAGTATTACAAATGAGGCTTTTCAGATGTTGTTAGCCTCTCTGCTGTTCTGTCCTGTGAGGTATGCTTGTCTTTCATTAGTCCTTTTAAAGTGCTCCAGTACTGAGGACTGAGGGCAATACAAAAAGCGTGTATAGGCTGCATATATCAAGAAACTGCTTTCTTCTAAGCTTTGGGGGAAGGGCTCCATGGCGTAGATGTGTAGGGAGCAGGGCTCCTGAGCCAGAGGTGGTTTGATTCATTAGCCGCTTTGTGGGAGGACGTTGAGCAGTCATTCGACCTGCCACGTCTGAAAACCTGCTGGAGAGTCAGCTGGGAGATGGTCCCAGCTTGACGGCAACGCGTGAGTGCGTGAGTGATGAGGAACAGCCAGCAGCTCTTCACTCAATGACTAAGATTGGACAATTGTTAATTCTGGCTGTAAAGATTTTTCATGCTAATTTTTAAGAAATCTGGTATATCCAGGAAAAAGATTAAAAATTAAAAAATTATTCTGATTGCTAGTAGCTGCTCTGGAGCTCTCGTATCCTGGTGGCAAGAAGCTGTGCTACGATCCTGAAGGCTCACAGTTCAAGACCACTAGCTACTCCATGGGAGGAGGATGGGCAGCCTCCTCCTGTGTGATTAACGGCCTCTGAGAACCCGCCAGAGGGTCAGCAATGGGTTGATTCCACCTGTGCGGTACACAACAACAACAGTGGCCACCACAGATAGTCACTGTAATGAAAAGTGCTGTAAGAAAAATATTTGATACAAATCAGCTGTCAGGGACCTCTTCAGAGTGCTGAAGAGCAACGATGTCAGTCTGGAGACTAAGGTGCGCCTGATCCGGGCCATAGTCTTCGCAGTTGCTTGCTATGTGTCAGAGAGCTGGATAATGACTAGGGGTGACAGAAAGAGAATTGATGCCTTTGGTCTGTGATGCTGGAGAAGAGTGTTGAATAAACCATGGACTTCCAGGAGTACAAAAAGGTTCATCCTGGATAGGGTAAAGCTAGCCTGCTCCTTGGGAGGCCGGGATTCTGAGGCTTCATCTGACATACTTTGGACATCTGGTCCTTGGAGAGGGACATCATGCTTGCAAGGGTGGAGTGACAGAGAAAGAAAGGGAGACCGTGTATGAGCTGGATTTATGCAGTGGCTGGTGTCTCAGAGACAGCAAAGTTGACACAGAACAGAACAGGTTTCAGGGCCGTTGTATATAGGGTTGCTATGAGTCGCAAGCGACTCGGCAGCACGTAAAAACATAACTATGTTTTTAAATTGCTATCAAGTGTCCTTTCCATTTCTACTTCTGATTTTGCTATATTTAGATGAAGAGAATAGAGTAAAAATGAATTTATAAGGCCTTTGGGGAAAAGACATCTTAAAGATTAATTATCAGTAAAACTACAGTTTTTTTCTCTTCTTCACTTTTTCCTCCCCTAGGTCTGGGTGAAATAAACTACATGCATGAGCTTCTCACGAACATGATTCACAGAAGGTGTGTTACATCCATCGTGCTGTTTTCAGTTGAGCGCTGCTGCCTCATTTGCCGAGAGATCTGTGGAGCCCTGTGAAGCTGCTCACTCGTCTAACTCACACGTTTGTCTGCTCTTCTCAGAGATGTAATCTCAGAAATTTGTTTGTTAGATTGCAGGTTTATCCACTCCATTCAAGTGTGACTTTGGAAGAACAGAATAATGTCTTTCTCAGCCCAGTCCCTGGGTACAGAAAGGTAGGAGAACGAGAAGGCCTGTTCTGAGCAGTAGGGCCCGACCTTCCTTCTCGACACTGCTTGCACAGACAGGGTGGCTGCAGTTACCCTTCTGTTTCTACAGTAATGGTCTTAGGTGCGTTTGTCCTTAGGAAACTGAGCGAGTTCCCTCGGCTCTCCAGTGTCCCAGGTTATGTAGTATCTTTTGAAATCGTTTCTCCTGAGTGCTTCATAATATTCCATTGTGTGAATGCACCACAATTTTTCATTTTTCAATTGTGGTTGAACACTTGGGCTGTTTCCAAGTTCTTGCAATGGTGAATAGTGCTAATTATGAACATTGGTGCAAAGATTCAAATTCTCTTGGGATGTATTCCTAGTAGTGCAATAGCTGTGTTATATGGAGTTTCTGTGTTCAGCTTTTTGAGGAAATTCCAAACTGCCTTCCAGAGCGGTTGTACCATTTTACAATCCCACCAACAGTGTTTGTGAGTTCCCACCTCTCCACCTCCTCTCCAAAAAAGAGAAGGATAACTAGTAAAACATGAATGGGGACTCAAACGGAAAAGAGGCGGGTGCAGAGGTTGTGAGTACAGGTAGGGGCAAAACCACAGGGTTTCACAATTTGGTGGATGGAGGGAGGGGGGCGAAGGAAGTGGGAAGGATCCAGCTGGGACCTGAAAAGACAAGGGTAATGATGGACAAGGTCCAGTGGTGATTAATTTTATAAAACACAATGCATGGGAATGATTGTGTGAAATACAATGTGAGTGAAGAATAGTGTGAAACACAATATATACACACTTTGTAAGTAAACCAGTATTTAAAAAGTATATAGGGGAAAAATAAGCGCAACAAGAATGCTGTTTAGAAGCAAGCAAATGAACCTTCGTCATACATACCATGGGTGTATAGTTATAGAGGCCAGTCCTTGAAGAAGGACGTTGTTCTTGTTAAAGGAGAGGGTCAGTGCAAAAGTGGAATACCTGCAACAGGTGGACTGAGACCACAGGGATGGCATAAGCAGAGCAGACATTGTGACAATGGTGCTGAATCGGCTGGGTGTCAGTCCCCTGAACAGGGTTACTGTGTGTCAGCTGTTGTCCACTCTGTGGCACCTAACCACAGCAGGACACATGTCACCTTGTTTCTCTGTGGTCATCCTCGTCCTGGAAAGCCCAGTGTGCCTATGCCAGTGAACTGGGTTCTGCAGACTGTGGTTGCTTCCACATCATCTGTCGCGTTGGGCCAAACCGGGGAATTAAAATTTATGACCCCAGGAATCATTTTGGCCAGAGCGTTGCCCAGGAGTCATTTATAGTCTGAAAACATTTGGCTGGCAGTGGCCAGTGTCTTGTAGGCATTTATGAGCATGTTGTGTACCGTCAAGTTGGAACTGACCCTCTGGTGGGTTTTCAGAGGCAGTTAACCTCACGGAAAGAGATTGCCCATCTTTATCCCATGGAGCAGCTGGCGGCCTTGAACTGTGTGCCTTCGGGATTGTAGCGCAGCTTCTTGCCACTAGGCCAGCGAGCTTTTGTTTTATGAGCATAACAAATACAAATTTTCAAGGGGAAAACTAGAGAGCGTAGCTTGGCCCTGCTCTCCACGGCGTGCTCTGCAGCTCTCTGCATCGTGCTCTGCAGCTGGGTCAGTCCCCTCAGGGACCCCACACTGTGACAGGCGCACTCAGCGTGTGACTGTTGGGTGGTGTAAGTGCGTCTAAGCAGTGGTGTAAGCGCTCAGGCTTGGAATCGGTTTTGCACTAGGCTTTGTCACACGCTCTCTCCTATTTCGAGACTGTTCTTGTGTCCCTAGAACCATTCAGGCGGCTGCTTAGAACCCATAGCTTCTGGTCCTGGGCTGAGATTTCTTTAATCATCGTGAGTGTCCTCTTACCACCCCCTAGAGGCACTGGAGGAGGACTGTGGCCTATGCCTGACCGGGGTTCAGCTCCCCCAGGCTCAGCTCCTCCGGCCATCCAGCACCCTCTCCGGTGTGTGGGGACCTGGGGTTCTGGGCATCAGACACCTCTGGTGGCCTCCTGCAACAATTCTGTCCTGAGGAGATGAGGCTGCATTGCGTGAGGTTCAAGCATGAGCTTGAGCATGGGACACAGACCTGGGTTCTGAACCCTGTCTCCTGCTGTGGCTTTGGTACACCCCTGCTCTAAGGTGTCCGTCTGTTAGTTGGTTGTACGAGTGGTTGGTTAGAGCCCACTCTCCCTCCGTCTTCTCCTCTTCAGCATTCTTTCTGCCGCCTCTCCGCTGGGGTATAGGAGAAGAATGGCTCGTCCCAGATGGGAGTCTAGTTATTACATTAAATCTTAAAGTAATATTTGAGTTAAGACTTCAGTGAACTTTTGCTAATGATGGCCAGAACATAATATCAGATTCTTGTATTTGATATTTGATAGATTATTCTGTCCACCAACATTGCGGAGAGTTCTCTGACGGTCCCAGATGTCAAATATGGTAAGAACTCCCTCTCTCTTCCTCACTCCCGAGGGACAGATAGTGTCAACAGGCCTGTTTGTCCCCAGTAAGGCTGCTGCTCCCCTCTCCCAGTTTTGAAAAAGAGAGTTTAAGACCGGAGTTGGCTTTCAGTGAACCATTTCCTTGTCACTTGGGTGGTCTTTGGGGTGAGATTGCTCTGAGGAGTGTTTGGGACCCTTATGGGGTGGTGCTTGGTCCTGGGGGCACACCCGTGCCAGAAGGGGCTTCGGAAAGGCCCTGTGCAGTGGTGCTGTCTTCTGGGTGGCGTTCTGACTCTGTGTGATTTCTGGGCTCCCATGCTCTTGTGTGATGGTCACCCAGAGGCCTGTCACTGTTGTTGATGCCAGGGTACAGAGCCTCGACAGCATCCCTGCCCTGCTGATGGTGACAGTCCAGCGGGGGCAGGGGGAGACAGACACTCAGCACGTAGGGCAGGTGGACGCGCTGTGTGAGGGCTGGGAAGCTCTGGAGGGGGTGAGGATGAGCTGAGTGTCCAGAGGAGGAGGAGCCTGCAGCTCTCCAGCTGGGCCACATGGCATTCCCGTCAACAGAGCTGTGTCTCTGTGCCAGGGCTGCTCCGGATGTGGGACAGAGCAGTAGACACAGCAGAACTCTTTGTATTAACAGTGCTGATACAAAGCTAGATGACATGAAAGACGAGTGAAACGCTGTGTGGAGCCAAGTGACAAGATGAGGAAAAAGATGCAGGGGTAGTGGTGTGAGAGACCATCAGGGGAGTGAGCAGGCCTGGACAGAGCCCACAAGAAGGCTGCTGCCACAGGGTGACGTTTCTGCCGGTCCTGAGAGAGTCACCCCTGGGAAGATCATGGTGGGTGGAAGGAACAGGAAACACGGAACCCCTAAAGGGCCTTGTATGCCTGGTGGGGTCAGGACCAGCCAGGCGGCAAGGTGAGTGGAGGGCAGGGGGACTGTCTGACAGCTTCCCGTCCATACAGGATCCATTCTCCACACCCGAGACCAGAGCAGGTGTAGAGAACAAGACTCGGGGTGATGGCAGGAGGGCTGCTGGTGGCTCTGTGGTGTCCCCTCCTGGAGGCTTCCTGTCCCTGTCCCTGCTCTTTGGCAGAGCACCGGGGTCTGTACGCTACTTCTCGAGAGCATGATGCTTGCTTTCCTTGTTTTAAATGGCAGTTATCGATTTCTGTTTGACTCGCACTTTGGTGTGTGATGAAGATACAAATTACCAGAGTCTGCGTCTGACCTGGGCCTCAAAGATGAGCTGTGAACAGCGGAAAGGTGAGGCCCGGTGTGTGTGTGTGTGGGTGCGTGTGTGTGTTTGATTTCTATGTAGAACCTTCTCTGTGGGAACCAGTCTCCACTTTTCTTAGCTTCTCTTGTGTGCCCAAAGCTCCTTTGATGCCCATGTGTCCGTAGGTGTGCCTGCCAGCTCCGGGCACCACTGTTGAGGGTGACTGGGAGCCCCGTGGAGTCCTCCACTCACCTCTGATGCTGCCCTCTCCTCCCAGTCCTGCTCATCCTGGCATTAGTTTCCTGAGGGCCGAGTTCACTGCCGTGTTCATGAACTTGACAGGAGGAGGGGATAGTGTGCCCCTTGCACCTGTTGCTGGATGTGGGACCCACTGTGATAGGTTCTGGAGTTCACCCTGCACGGAAATGGCCTGTGAGCTTACTTAGAGAACCTTTGGGACGGGCAGGCAAGAGACCTTTCCAAGGATACCAGGAGTGCCTGTTGAACATTGAGTGGTGAATCTACACTGCTCAGCAAAGGTGAAAGCAGCATTAGTGGATGTGTGTCAGACCAGGCACACTCCTGAGTGTTGTAACATCACCACATGTCAGTCCTCTGGCAGCTGGAGAGGCAGGTTCACTTCACTTCGTATCAGTGAAGCACTGAGCACAGGGCCTCAGCAGCCTGTGCTGCTTCTCCAAGAGTGCTGGGTATGAGATCCAGCCACATTGTCACTTGCTAATGACTAATGCCAGAAAGTCTCAGAAATTGATTACAGAGCCATTAAAATATCCTGAAGAGTTTCTCAAGAGTTCAGGAGAACCTCACACTGAGTTGTGTGTTGCTGTTGATGGCCTTCCAGTCAAGCATGACTCACAGCGACCCTATGAACAGAAGGCCTGAAGCCTCTCTACAACTGTCGGCATTTGTCAAAGTTCATAGGGTTTCTGAAGGCATGTTGTTGAGGAAGTGGAAGCTACTCCTTCCAGTGCTGAAAAAGGATATAGCTTGACTGTGTGTATTGATCTTTAAATAACCCTCCAGTAACTTCTTACATCACTGCTGCTGATCTCGTACAGCACCCGTCTTGACCTTTGGTATCACTGTTGTGTTTATTGACTCTATCACTGTTGGTGCTCTTGGGGGCCGCTGAGATCACTGCTGTTGATCTTGTGTCACTGTTGGTGGTGGGAACCTCTCACCTCACTGTTGGTGGGAACCTCTCACCTCACTGTTGGTGGGAACCTCTCACGTCACTGTTGTCGGTGGGAACCTCTTGCATCCCTGGTTTTGGTCTCTGTTGGGCTTATCCCCCTGGTGTTGAGGACCTGTTGTCTTCTGTCACTGTTGTTGATCTCATAGCCATGTTCTTCCTGTTGATCTCTAACATCACTGTTGTTTGCGCTGTTGAATCCTGTCCACCTCATGGTGACCGTGTGTGAGAGAGCTTTATGCTGACCTGGTCTGGGGGAGAATAACAAAGGCTTTTCTGAATGCGTTCTTTTGGGGGGGATGTTAAGAGGTTATAATGCAGATTAATAACAAAATACAGTCAAGACAGCTCCCAAAATGTTCACAGAGGCACCCTGAGTGCATTCTCAGTACTCTCTTTTGTTACTCTTACCGTAACAGATGCCACACAGTGTCTGCTCTTCTCTACGCAGGCCGTGCAGGTCGTGTGTCCAGGGGCCACTGCTACAGGCTGGTGCACAAGGACTTCTGGGACAGCTCCATTCCGGACCACGTTGTCCCCGAGATGCTGGTAAGGCTTCCTTGCTGAGGTGTAGTTAACTGAGCAGTCTGAGGAAGGAGGTCTGAGTCTGGTTTAGACTCGAGGGAAATGACAACTTCTGACCATCCTGGTCTGAATCGTAATTTGATTTTGCCGGTAGCTGAGCCAGGTGCGGTCCAGGGCCTGTGCACAGCCTGCATGGAGAGTGAGGAGAGGCACCCTGGTGCTGTGGGTCTGTGGTCTGTGACGGCTCACGCTGAGTGCGGCTGCTCAGTGCGGCCCTTGCACGGAAGCACTGCGAGGCCTGCTGGCTTTCTCCTGTCCGCTTTTCTTTTGTCTTTCTTTTTTTAATTTTCCTGGTCTCTTTCTTTCTTACTGCTTCTTTTCTTTCTCTTCCTCTCTTCTTTTCCTGTTCTTCTCTTTTCAACTTCTCTCTCTCTCCCCCACCCCGACCTCCTTCCCCCCTCCCCTCCTCCTCTCTCCCTCCCTTCCTGCCTTTCCTCCTCCAGCCCCCACCCCCACCGCCCAGCCCTAGTCCTGTGAAATAGACTCATGGATTTTGTTTTTGTTAAATTGGGATTTTTTTCTTTTTACTGTCTCTGTCTCTCTCTCTCATCCTGTAAATAGGCTCATAGATTTTGTTCTTCTTAAATTGGGATGTTTCTCTCTCTCTCTCTCCCTCTCCTCATGGATTTTGTTTTTCTTAAATTGGGATGTTTTTCTTTTCTCTCTCTCTCTCTCTCCCTCCCTGTGTATAGACTCATGGATTTTGTTCTTCTTAAATTGGGATATTTTTCTTCTCTCTCTCTCTCTCTCTCCCCCCTTCCCCCTCCCCCCTCCCTGTGTATAGACTCATGGATTTTGTTCTTCTTAAATTGGGATGTTTTTTCTGTTTACTCTCTCTGTCTCTCTCTCCCCCTGTGTATAGACTCATGGGTTTTGTTGTTCTTAGATTGGGATGTTTTTCTTTTCAGCGCTGTCCCTTAGGAAGCACAGTATTGAAAGTGAAGTTGCTGGATATGGGTGAGCCTCGGGCCCTGCTGGCGACTGCGCTTTCCCCGCCGAGTCTGAGTGACATTGAGCGCACCATCCTTCTGCTAAAGGAGGTAGGGGGTCTCTGGAGAGACTGAGTATCACCAAGGGTGAAGGGGGCCCTAAATTCCATACTGTGGCTGGCACTTAAGCTGTGTTGACTGTTGTAAGGAATCAGTATTTGCTTGAAAAGTAAGTGTGTGACTGTTTATTCCAAGTTCTGTAGTTGTTCTTTTTATTGAGAAAAAAATCTTTATTTTACTGCTGTGCTCGAGGACACACACAGCAAAACATTCTAAGAAACACATTTAAAACAAATTCACAGCAAAACACACCCAAACAAAACTCATTGAGAATCAACCCTGCCATTTCTGCATGTTCTTTTCTTGTCGTTTTATGTATATAAGGTTCTGTAATGCTTGTCCTTTTGTAGTTCCCTTACTTTACTCAGAATATCCTCAAGCGGCATCCATGCTGTGTCAGGACTGTATAGACATACTGTGTGTCCACACTGGATCAAAACCCAGCCTTGCTTGCTGAAAGTGAAGAGAACTTGATGTACTTGTTAGAAGATCAAAGACTATAGCTTTCAGGATGGAGCACATCTCAACATGAAGGAAACAAAAACCTTCACCACTGGACCAGGACTCAACATCACAAGAGAATGGAGAGAAGATTGAAGTTATTAATGGTTTCATTTTACGTGACTCCGCAGTCCACACCCAGGGTAGCAGCAGTTAGGAATGAAGACATGCTGCGTAGGGACAATCTGTCAAGGAATCCCCAACACGCTAAAGAACAAGGATGTCCATGGCACGCATCTGATCACATCACGATCTTTTCAGTTACTTGGGATGCATCTGACAGCTGGTCAGTGAGGAGGAATGACAGAAGGAGCGGTGCCTTTGAGCTGTGGTGTGGCAGAAGGGAATGGCCCAGGGACGGCCGAGAACACAAGTCTGCTTTTGAGAAAGCACAGCCAGGACGCTTCTTAGAGGCTCTGACAGTGGAACTTCTCCTCACAGACTTTGAGCTTGTTGGACAGGAGAGGTCTGTCTACAGAAAAGGCCATCATGATTGGAAAGGTGGAAGGTCAGAGAAAGCAAGGAAGACCCCCAAAAAATGGGTTGATACATTGACTGTGACCGTGATCTTGAGCATCCCAGAGGTCCTGTGAGGACAACGCGGGCTAAGGTACCTTGCGGATCTGTAACTCATGGGGTTGGTGTGAGTTGTAGATGACTTGACGGCACTGAACAACAGTAATTAAGGCTTTATCTCTCCTACTAGCTGGAGAGTATTCCATCGTATTTATGTGCCAGGTTGTGTTGGTCATTGTCTGGTGAAGGACATTCAGATGGTTTCCACTCTTTGGCTGTTGTAAATAATGCTGCAAATGAACATGGGTGAAAATCTAGTATATATACTTCCAAATCTTTTGTGTATGTACCTAAGAGAGGGATTGCTTGGTTTTTTTATATGCTAATTTTCTTTTTAGTTTGAGGAAATAACCATACTTCTAATGCACAATCACTATAACAACTTTGTAATTCCTCTGATAATGTTGTTGTTGTTGTTATGTGCCATTGAGTCACTTGCAACTCATAGTGACCCTATGTACAAGAGCCCTAAACGCTGTTCTATCCTGTGCCAACCTCGCCGTCTCAGACACACTCATTCCCACCACCCCAATAACAGAATAGATCCATCTCATCAAGGGTCTTCCTCTCCTGTGCCATCCCTCCACTCTCCCAGACATGATGTCCCTCTCCAAGGACCAGTCCCTCCTTGCAACATGCCCAAAATAGACGAAGCTTCAGAATCCTTGACTCCAAGGAGCAGCCTGGTTTCACCTACTCCTGGACAAACCTGTTTGTTCTCCTAGCAGTCCATGGTATGTTCAACACTCTTCTCCAGCACCACAGTTCGAAGGCATCAGTTCTCTTTCTATCATCCCTATTTACTGTCCAACTCTCCGATGTATAGCACGTAAT